TTCTCTGTCATCTCCAAATGTATTATCTACAGTTGGCTTTAAATTCAGTTTGAGGTTTTCATGCTTCTTATTATGACAGGTGATTTTCGATTGACATGTGATAACATGAGACTTTGGACCTTATCTGAAACTTGTTTTACCTGTCTCCCCCTGACACTATTCTGGTATGGGACAAGGGGATACCACCTTATTATTTGACATCTGAAAGGAGAGGCTCCTTATTACTGTTAGGCAGGGATAGGATTTCTAATTTTCCATCAAGTCTCCACTGGTATATATTTGACTAGAAAGAATAGGGGTGCCTCATTACTACTCTCCAGGTGGCTTTACCATGAGGATGTGACTTTGTTTGCCTCTGGATGGTGGTGAAAGTCCTCTCTACCAGGCCACTTATGACATTACCCCAATGGGGAGGGGAAAGGGCACCTTGTTATTGCCAGGTAGAACTGGAAATTTCAGCTCCTATGCAATCTTTTTTCCCACCACTCCAGGAGGGATGGGTGGGTGGGTGGGTTAGAGAATCTCATTATACATGAAGAAGGTGGCAGTCTAGGTTCTCTACCTAGCCTTTGTTAGTGTGGGTGTGGCCACAGTTTTTTGTCTGTGGTATTTGGCTGCAGGAGAATGGCTATTGCTTAAAAGATTTCTGTCTTGCCAGTTTACCCTTTTCTATTCATTTGGCTAAGAGACATCAAGCTTTTCTTGGGGATTGTTGTGCTCATAGGTGTTTCTGGATTGTTTGCTTCTCCAGCATCCAGTCTTATATAAAAGACAAAATCAAAACTCAGCTAACTTACTGCCATGTTGTTCTTTGGATCCCAAGGTCTCTAGCCAGTCTACCTTCCTCCACCTTTCAGAGTTTTCTTATGTGTTTTTAAAAAATATATTTTTATTGATTTCAGAGAAGGGAAAGGGAGAGAGAGAAACATCAATGATGAGAGAGAATCATTGATCGGCTGCCTCCTGCACGCCTACTGGGGATCAAGCCTACAACCCAGGCATGTGCCCTTGACCAAAATCGAACCCAGGACCCTTCGGTCTGCAGGCTGATGCTCTATCCACTGAGCCAAACCAGCTAGGGCTTTATGTTTGTTTTTTATAATACTCAATTGTACTTTAGTGTGAGGAATAGGGAAAAGCACATCTCCATTTTGTTGAGAATGAAAAGTTTCACTGATTTTTAAATCACTTGTGTCATTCTCATACCCAAGTTTCTACCATCATCTCTCTTCTCTAACCATATAAATCATATTTTTCTTGAGAAAACTCTTAATTCTCACTTATATGAAGGCTTCCCTTATTACTCTGATTATAATGTTATTTTATCTTTCTTACTTTTCTTCAGATATCTTTATTCTATGTTTTGGTATTTAATTATATACAGTCTGGGGTACTGGGTAAATCAGTTAATCTCTCTAAGCCTTAATTTTCTTATTTGTGAAAGGAGGATGACACTGGTCCCCTAACTATTTCATAAGATCTGTATATATAAAAGGCTAATATGCTAAGTGTCCATCCAGGTAATGATGTCATGTAGCAACACCCAGCTTCCTCTCCCTAGCGACTAGCCTCCTTGCAGTTTCTTCAGCCCAGGAACATTACTTGCTTTATAGCCAGGTGGAAACATTTCACACTATAACCAAATGTCCATGAAGTGTTTTCCCATGCCTCATCTCATTTGATCCTCACAGAAGTCCTGGAGTAGGTAGATAGGAAACTGGGTGGAATCCTATTTTCTTTTCATTAGCCGGAAAACGGAGATTTAGAAAGTTTAGAAACTTGACCCAACTGCAAAGAGGTAAGAAATGGTGGACCTTAAAAAATGACTTCAGGTTTTCTCACTGCGCAGAATATAGTCAAACACTGATGCAGTTAACTATTTTACCCTTTGTTCTCCCTGCGTGATCTACAATAATAATCTGCTTCATGTTGATATTTACTGCTGTGCTGCTGACAATTACCTGAAAGAGAAGTTGGGGAGCTTCACTGGGCTGGAAAAAGTTTATCTAAATCAGAAAGCAGGTCTAATTAAACAAGTTTATTTTATATCTATAAAAGGCTAGGTTGACTTGCACATGGGCAATACATATAAAAGCTCTAGCTGGCACCAATCTCATGCGTGTGTTTCGATCTGTCATTGTTGATCGTGAATTTGGTTGACCCTTCTATTATAGAGAAAGGGCGAATAGTGATATTAAAATATTTCTTCTAATTAATTTCCTTTCAATGTGCATGAAATCATGCACTGGGGCACTAGTATTTAATAAGCATTAAATAAAAAACTATAAAATGCTTGCCAAATGTTAGGTATTATTATTATTTCAAATGTTCTGTATGAGGCTTGACTCCCCTTTATGAATGACAAATTCTTTGAGTAAGAGGGTGTTTCATATTCTCGGACTGTCTATAAGAACTAGGCCAAAGACTAGAATTGACTTCTTTATGTTTAGAGATACACTCTAGATATTAAAAATATTGAACTAACACAGGCAATATCTCTGATCCATTCTTATTTACCAAGCAAACATATACAGCTAATTCATATCCCTTTTATTACATTCATGTATACATAGAAAAACAAAGATACTATTCAGATAGTGTCTAAAATACTTGTGAGTCTCTGAAGACAATGTTACTGTTTTGAAAACATCCATGTCAGAGAGAAGGGAAGTATTTCAGTCAAGTATTGCTTTAAAGTGTGCTTACACATATTGTGAAAGTCACTCTCAAAATAGAAGTATATTATTCCATGCTCTGAGAAACTTACAATCCTAACTGTAAAGAACAAACAGCCACATGAATTGAAAGTCCATTTACTCTACCCTCCTTGATAGCAACCTTTTATTTTTAAAGCTTTACAAAACACACAAATGAAAATATCTGTTCTATCTAATTTAATTCCCTAAACCAATTACCCCCTCTTTTTCTAAGAGGAAATTAAAAGCAAATGGTTTTATGTTCTGCAAAAAGTGTTTTGGCAATTACAGAGCAATCAACTTATACTTACCTTTTATACAAAAGAAAAAACTATAGTTTTCCTTAGATTAAACAGCTTGGTAGCCCCCAAACAGAAGTTAAGATAGACTGGTTAAAATAAGATGACCCAAAAGGTAATGAAAAGATCCTGTGTGCTGGATGAATGAAACTTGTCATTTCTGTATGATGACACTACATGTAATATTTTCTAATTAACTGCCTTTACTCACCAAGCACCTATGGATTACAACCTGGGTTTTCTATGCAGTTTTCACTCAATGAAAAACGGGCTCATCAACAAACTCCCTATTCTGACCTTCTTTGGGATTAATTGGCATTCTGATTTATAGATAATCTCCTGTATACTGAATAATGTCTTCCCTCTAGAGATAAATCAACTTAGCATGTTGATCAATATTAACTTTCTAGTTTTGTAAAGCAGAGCATTAAAATCTAAAATATACTAAACCAAAGTACAACCAATCACCTTTGTTAAACCCCTTCTGGGTGTGTAGCCGGGGTGACATTTAATGCTGTTCAACACTTCAAAATGCAACACAGGCTGTAAAAATATTGGTAGATCCACTTATTGTTATTCCAAAACCAATAATGCTAACATGACTTCAGTGCAGAAATGTGAGAAAAAAGCAGCTTAACATTCTCAACATGAGGAATGATATCACTAGAGTCTAGGTCCTAGACAGTGGTCGGCAAACTCATTAGTCAACAGAGCCAAATATCAACAGTACAACGATTGAAATTTCTTTTGAGAGCCAAATTTTTTAAACTTAAACTATATAGGTAGGTACATTGTTATTAACTTAATTAGGGTACTCCTAAGGCTTAGGAAGAGTCACACTCAAGGGGCCAAAGAGCCGCATGTGGCTTGCGAGCCACAGTTTGCCGACCACGGACCTAGCAGATCACAAACATGCCAATAACTCACTGCCGCTATGTTTTTAAATGTTTTAAAAGCAAAAAAAATTAAATGATTTTAATTTATAATGTGAAAATCTTGCCTTAACTTTTGGGGCCATATATGCTAAAGTTAAATTAGTGTTTTCGAGTAAAGAAATTTTTCCTGTACTATCCAAGATACCATTAAGTACACAGAGACGGTTCAGTCACGTTGATTATTTTACTTTCACTTAGTACCACTTTGGTGGCTGTTTTTATTGGAATATATTAACAATCCCCAAACATATTTTGCTTGGCAACTTCCTTTAAGAAATAAAACCATTTGGAAACTGTTTTGTAGAAAAGATCAATTGAGTCCTCTATCTTTTAGAAATATTTTAAAAATGAATATCTCCTTCCTATTATTCCAAGATCCCAGCATTTATTTCACTGTAAGCATTATACTTGGCTCTATAAATGCCAAATTCATAAGAACAATCATAAATTTAAGCATTTTCCTATGAATTAGAAGTTATCTATTATGAGTAAGTTCTATGTAACAAAATATGAAATTACAAAATCAGTTATTTTACATTTATTTACTAAATTGACAAAAAAACAAAAATAGTATTGATAAATTAAGACAAATAAAGAGTAGGCAAGAGAAATGAAACTAATTATTAAAAAGAAAAAAGGCACATTAGTTAGAACTACATATAAAAAATACAAAACTTGGCCAGAGTTAATAGAAATATAAAACCACTGGGCAGATAGCAATTCCAAGTAATTTCCCAATTCTAATACCTTAATGTTTCTAATATCTAAAAAACTCACAAAATCTATATTTTCCTTTTAGTTCCCTTAGAACCAGATGGTAATATGCTAGAGGCTCATCCATAATCATTATACGATGTGCACAGTAAATTAGAAAGCATGTTGCTTTCATGAAACCAAATTGCATTTGTTTGGCTCTTAGAACAACAAGTTAGTGAAGTTTTAAAGGATTTTGAGGACCCTTGCTTATGCTGGCTTCTAGGCACCAGTCTAAAGGCAAAATTTAATATTCTGAAACACTAAATGGCTTCTAAAAAGAGCTTGGTAAAATTGCTTTAAAGGGTTTACTTTACTTTTAAAAGCATCTGTTGCTCCAGGTGCATGGTTTTTGTCTGGATGAAACTTCAAAGCAAGCTTTCTATAAGCTTTTTTCAAATCTTCATCACCAGCATCTTTGGTAACTCCAAGTACTTCATAGTAATTTTTACATTTGTTTATGCTGTGAACAAGAGAGTGTGTTATAATGAAAATTTCAAGGAAGAAGTTTATGTAATAGCTCTAATGTTTTATTTATTAGAAGAGTATAAAGAACTGTCTGTGGACTGATTCCTCAATATCAAATGATAACTTATCCTATTAAGGGTTAATGCTTTATCTGTTTTTCGACCAGACCATTCCTCCAACCTCTTCCCAGTCTAAGAAGAGTTGACCATGAGAATGTCCTTGGTGCAATTTATCACAACTACATAGAAGTAAAGCAAAATCCATAACAAATGTGGATGAAGGACAGAGCACAGAGGATAAGAACAACTTTTAAGCATAAAGAAATTCAATAATCCTCACAAGTACATTGTAGCTAAAGAATAGCATATGTTACACTCAAGAGTTTTGTTGTCCTGTAATGTATATCTAACCAAATACCAAAGCAACAGTTTAGTGCATGTAAAAACAATCACAGCACACTATGGTTTAAATGTCAAGGCAAGTCAATTCAGCTCGGCCATGTTAAAGAGAATTCATTGGTGAAAGATAAAATCTCACAGTAAAATATATCATGGGACGCAAAAATGTTTGTTACTCCCATTTTCATTGTGATAAGCATATTCTTAAAGATTACAGTAAGTCCTCACTTGATGTCGTTGTGTGACTTAGCAAAATTATGTGTAACAAAACAAATTTTACCACAGGCTAATTTACATACACAAGAGTTAAGTTCCTACAGCATTTCATCAATGTTATAATGAAACAATGTTGAATGAATCATTATCCAAGGACCTACTGTACTTACATAGTTTATAACCCTAAAGCTGGAGTCTTTAAAGTATATTAGGAAAAAAAATACTCTAAATGGAACAGAGAACATTAATTTTTTTGGATCCTAACATTCTCTCACAACCTAAAAATTTTTATTCACTAAAATCCAGGTACATCGTACACATTTTTGTAGCAGACTTTATGACTCTAGATGTGTTCCATGTGTAAGTGGCTTGATGACAGAGGTAGTAACAGGTAAAAAGATCTGAGGCATAATTGTTCCTGGCAGCAAAAGTGTTTCAAACACCGACTCAAAGTTTTCAAAGAAAAGAGACAGGCTTGATCTTTTTTTTAAACTACTAAATATATTAAACATCACACCGCTTGGTACATGACAGGCTCTCAGTAAATATTTCTGGGATAAATGAGCCTAAAGCTCTTCTTTTATAATGAAATCATTTATTATTTGGTATATTAAATAGGGAGAAAAAAAGAGAGAAGACCTTATATAAAATTATAGAAATTTTTCCATAACACATAAATTAAAATCTGATACCCAATCCTTCTTTATAATAATGATAATTAAAATTGGATTTTTCTACTTTAGATAACAAATATTAACACAAGTCAGTTTTATTTAATAAATATGACATTTTCTTTATTTGATCAATAATATTTATTAAATACCAATGATGTCCCAGATAGTGTTCAGGCACTTGAGATATATTAGTGAACAAAACAGAGAACGATCCTACCATAGAAGAGACTCACTTTCCTGAATATTAGAAACTATGCAATAGAAAAAAGGGGAAGGGAACATTTATAGAACACTACTGTGTGTCAGGCACAGGCTTCTAAAAAGAGTGTAGTAAAATTGCTTTAAAAGCAATATCCATGCTCTAATATCCATTAAGAATATCCATGTTCTAATATCCATTAAGCTCTGAAAAACATTAAATTATTCTATAAATAATCTGGTTGCAAAAACCTGACTTGAACTCTGAAAGGTAAAATTTGACCCGAACAAATGTGAAACTGCTACACAGTCTTCATATATCCCATTTAAGTGAATAGTTGTATGTTTTATTGCAGAAATGTTCCCATTAGGGTCCGAGCTGCTTACCAGTTATGTAACGTACAATGCATACTTCTTATTACCTTTCTAAATATGAATGATTCAAATTACAAACTATATCTGGTCCACTAACTTTTCACATAGAGAATTGTAAAATCTTATTATGTTGATTATTTTACACAAATTATCTCATTTACTCCTCATTAGGCAGATATTATTCCTAATTAACCAATGAGGAAATTAAGGCTTTGAGAGGTTAAGTAAATTGCCAAAAGTCATATAACCAAGTAATAGATAGGAAGAAACCAGGACTTATTTCTTCAACAAAAATGTACTGAACATCTACTTTCTGCTAAATGCTGTTTCAGAGGCTATAGTGGGGAATAAAACAATCCAAAAAATCCCAGCTCACATTCAATTTACAATTGGGACAGGACCAAGCAATGAACAGATATACAAATAAAATATAAAGTACGTCACATGGTAATACATATTTAGAGAAAAATAAAGTGGCAAAGGGGGGTGGGGAATGGAAGGGGAGGCCTCTACAGTGATTAGGAAAGGCACAGTAAGGATTCAAATATCAGTTTGTACAACTTGAAAATCCTGTTGAGATCCAGAATCAAGAAGAAAAGGAACCTCCTCAGACTCCAGAGTAACTAACCATCTCCTTCCTTGCAATTTGCTTTTCCAATCCATATTTAAACACACTTTCTTCCCTCTTAGATATTTTCAAATGTCATTTCTGGTGCCCAGAACATGCGTTCTCTGCCTCCCGTCTTGCTTAGTTTCCAACACTTCCTCAAACCTCAGCTTGGCTCTTTCTCTTCTCAAAAAATCCTCAAGACTAGGTTGGTGACCCTCTTATAGCCTCTCAAAACTCTTAGAACTTAGCCCTCTGCCAGCAATGACCTCCCTGTACTGCTGCTACCTGTGTACTTGTCTGAACACTCTTTTTAGACTAGGTCCCTTGAAGGCAGGCACTGTGTTGTTCACCATGTGTGTTGAATGAATAGATGGACAGATGGATGACTGATTCAATTTGAGAGCAGAAATGGTGAGAATCCAAGTAATTTTTAGGCTAAAGATGATATGTGCTATAATGCAAATGTAGTTGGCATCAGAACTCAATTTGGAATAAAGAAGAATAGACTATGAAACAAGGAATAGGCTAAAAATATGTCATACTACAGGAATGCTGAAAACAAGAGTAGTAAACCAAACACTGAACTACCCTAAAGTTATTACTATTTGGTTAGAATGCACAAGATATTTAATTATGTACCAGATTAAACCTCTAAATTTGTTTTGTTGATAATTTCTGAGCACAAAAGGCTAGACAATACAAAAAAGCAGCCTAGGAAAGGGTTACTGAAAAGTGTAGAAAAATTAGGTTGGAATTCACAATCCTCTAGAGATGGGTCATAGAGGTAAAAGAATTACCACAATGAGGAGGAAAAAATAAGAAAATCAATTATTTCACTAATTCTGAGCTGTATCTACCTTTGCCATATCTTTTTTGTACTAAATTTTTCATCATATGTTAGAGGAGAAATCTTTGAGAAACCAACATAGAGGTATGAAGTCTACAATCACCAATGGAAAGCTGAAGGCTACGTATTTCAATACTCCAAATATACTCATTTACCTAATTTTCATACCTGAATGAGAAATATATATAAATTCATATATTTATTTTCATTCATATTTTTTGTTCATCATGCTTTTCACTAGCTAAAATGCATTTGTCACACTTTTTACAGTTTGCTTCTTACTGAAAGATTTAAATATTTTTCTCCATCCTCACCAAGGAATTTTAAAAAGAAAGAAGGAAAGAAAGCAAAAAGAAAATACATTAGAATGAGGTAACCCATTAACTACCCTCGAAGGAAACATTGTGCAACACAGACAGACAGATCTGTCTGAGAGCTCAACATTGGAGAAGTATATCTGGTTCAGCCTTCATGTCTTCCTTTATGTGCATAAAAGAATAGTGGGCATGGGAGGAGGGTCTTCTTTCAATTCTTTTTTTATATAACTGGTTATTTAAATATAATCCATGTTTATTAGTGTTTAAGGAAACATTTATTCTTGGAGGCAAAGGATTATTTATTTTATAAGTTTAACAAAATAATTTCTTTTCATTTAAAGAATTACAATTTAAGTCAAATCCTAATGAAATAAAAATGCCCATCATTCAAATTACTTAATAGCTGTACAGAAGTGTTTTGAATTGATAACTATAATGCAAGTCCAGTTAATGATTTCACACTGATCTTGTAAATTTTAAAATAATAGATGGGCTTTTAAAAATGAGATCTTAAAAATCTTTCATATTAGATCCATGACACCTTTTCCTCAATTTTTCAATATATGTCAACTCAAGGACAACAATGTGCTTAGTTTCACAGAACGTTACTTTTACAAATTTATACCCTTTTTCTTCCATCTTACTGTAAGCTAGTCTTACTTATGTAATGAATGCAGCATTATTGCATGGCTTCTCCCATTGAGCCAAATTGTCACTGAGCAACTTGTTTGCATAATCGTGCTAACAACAAGATAACATGGCTTTCTTCTGAAAAATCCCCTGTGTATAGGTAAAACAAAAACAAAAACATACAGCATGTAAGTGTTTTCTGGTGATCTGTTACCTCACTAAAGCAACATTTTGGAAGATGATATAAATAACTGGAGGCCCGGTGCACAAAATTCATGCATGGGGGGTGGGGGAAAGGGGTCCCCTCAGCCCAGTCTGCACCCTCTCCAATCTGGGACCCCTTGGGGGATGTCTGACTGCTGGTTTAGGCCAGGATCAGGCCTAAACCAGCAGTCAGACATCCCTCTCACAATCCTGGATCTCTGGCTCCTAATTGCTCACCTGCCTGCCTTCCTGGTCACTGCCCCCCACTAGCCTGATTACCCCTCATTGCCTCTGCGTGCCAGCCTGATCACCCCTAACTGCCCTCCCCTGCCGCCTGATCGCCCCTCACTGCCTCTGCATGCCGGCCTGATGGCCCCTAACTGCTCCCCCTGCCAGCCTGGTCACTCCTAACTGCCCTGCCTGCTGGCCTGGTCACCCCTAACTGCTCCCCCTGCCGGCCTGGTCACCCCCAACTTCCCTCCCCGCCAGCCTAGTTGCCCCTCACTGCCCCCCCTGCCAGCCTAATTGCCCCCAACTGCCGTCCCTGCCGGCCTGGTAGCCCCCAAATGCACCCCCCCCACCGGCCTGGTCACTTCTAACTGCCCCCCCGCTGGCCTGGTCACCCCTCACAACCCCCCTGCCGGCCTGGTCGCCCCACGCAGCCTGCTATTCAGTTGTTTGGTCATCCCTCACTAACCCCCTGCCGGCCTGGTTGTAGGCAGCCATCTTGTGAGGGCTTGAGGGTTAATTTGCATATTACCTCTTTATTATATAGGATACGTGTTCCATGATTGAGCTAATCAACTATTATAAAGTTATTAACTGAAGTATTTTGAATAAGCTAGGGATTCTATTAAAGAATGTTTCAATCATATTTAGTCCCCATAGGGGAAAAATAACTAAATTTACTAATAAAAAAGGTATAATAAAACTATTGACCAGAGAAACAATTTCTAATGTAGGTATACTACTAAGCTAATACTTCTTCCAGGTAAGAATTCATGGTCTCAAACATAGCTGGGTCCCAGATGCTAACCAACAATCTTTCCATTCCCTCTTCTTTTCTGCTCTGCAAATATTTCATATGCTTACCATCCTCCTCAAGCTTTCAATCTCATCTCTTTTCTCATAACTCTCAAAAGATAACCTGATCTCCAATTTCAGAGAGTATAGAAGCCAACTAACAGAAACTCAACAATACTTCATTAACATAAGTAGGAAAATTGAAAATGCTGTTACTATTGCCCTTGATTCTTCTCACATAAAATTCTGCTTTCAGGTATATATGTGACAGAACAATTCTTCTGTCCTCTTTCAGTATTTTATCTAAATACTGTACTATGTAAAAAAACTGAAATAATTTTGCTCAAAAATAATGATCTAGAAGTACTAAAAAAAAAATAGATGGAGCCTTCTATAGAGTTGGTATTGTATAATCTGACTTTATAAAGAATACAAAGATGGTAGTTTACAGACTGATTTCATTTATTTATTTATTTTTAATCTTCACCCAAGGATATTTTTCCATTGATTTTTAGAGAGAGTGAAAGAGAGAAAGTCCGAGAGAAATATCGATTTAAGAGAAGCACATTGATTACTTGCCTCCTGCATGAGCCCGGATCAGGCAGGGCCTGGGCTGGGGAGGAGCCTGCAACCGAGGTACATGCCCTTGACCAGAATTGAACCTAGGACCCTTCAGTCCGCAGGCCGATGCTCTAGCCACTGAACCAAATTGGCTAGGGCTACACACTGTTTTTATAAAGAATATAAAACAGCCCTAGTTGGCTTGGCTCAGTGGATAAAGCTTTGGCCTGCAGACTGAAGGGTCCTGGGTTCAATTCTGGTCAAGGGCACGTGCTCAGGCTCAATCCCTAGTAGGGGGCATGCAGGAGGCAACCAATCAATGATTCTCTCTCATCATTGATGTTTCTATCCTTCTCTCCCTCTCCCTTCCTCTCTGAAATCAATAAAAATATATTTAAAAAATATATATAAAACGTAATATACCCAGAGTTCAATTTCTTGATGTCTGTTCTACTGAATTATAACTCAAACACTTTTTTAGCTGTTATACCATTTAAAAATTACATTAGCAGCAACTGTAGTTGAAATATAAGTCATATTTATTCCTACCTGAGAACTCCATCTATTTGGTCTTTGGTGTAGCCTTTTCCGTCACCACTACCAGACGTGCTGTCCTTTGTGCAATTAGGCTTGCTTTGATCAGCACTACCTGATGGTTTTCGGCAATGAGGGCTATTTCCAGCTGTGCTTCCATTTTTCATAATTATTTCCAATAGGGCTGTAGAAAGATACAAAAAACATTATGTCTGTTTACATATATATGATCTTGAGAAGTTATAAAGCTGACAAATTAAGAATCATGTTCTCCATAAAAACTCTCCATAGCATCTTTTTAAAGAGCAAGCATTCCCTTATGTATTTAACTGTTTACAGAACACTAATCACAATTTAAAAGTAGAATAACAAGAAATTTAAAACTAATAACTCAAAATTACTGTCATTCAGTTACTTATGACACTTTTAATTGTCATATCATGATAAAACTGCAGAATACCAAAGAAAAAGTAGTTGATAAGATTATCTACAAAGAAACAGAAATTAGACTTCCTATTTCTTCTTCAACAGCAACAATGGCAGCTAAAAGACACTGAAATAATATCTTCAAAATGCTCAGAAAGAGTAACTTTCAACTCAAGTTCTGCACTAATTTTCTAAAAATGCAGATTAGAAACATTTTCAAACAAACAAGACCAAAAATTTTACTTCTAAGATTTCTAAAGGGTACTATAATATATTAGGCAGAAGAAAAATGCTTCTAGACAGGCTGTAGAAGGGAATGGTGAGCAAATACTTTGATAAATGTATGAGTAAATATAAACACTAAGTCTATAAAATAATAATAGTATGTCTAGAATTTCATTTAAATACTGATGGGTCATAAAAGAGAAGGTAGAGAGAATATATAAAATAAGATTGACCATATACATATTCATAATCGTTAAGATGGGAGGGTGATAGGGACTGATAATATTATTCCCTCTCCGATGAATGTGTGAAACTTTCCGTAAGTTAAAACTATACATTAAAAAAAAATCATGCCACTTCACACCTACTAGGACAGCGGTTCTCAAACTGTGGGTCGCAACCCCTTTGGGGGTCGAACGACCCTTTCACAGGGGTCGCCTAAGACCATGGGAAAACACATATATAATTACATACTGTTTTTGTGATTAATCACTATGCTTTAATTATGTTCAATTTGTAACAATGAAAATACATCCTGCATATCAGATATTGACATTACGATTCATAACAGTAGCAAAATTACAGTTATAAAGTAGCAACGAAAATAATTTTATGGTTGGGGGTCACTACAACATGAGGAACTGTATTAAAGGGTCGCGGCATTAGGAAGGTGGAGAACCACTGTACTAGGATGACTATAATAAAAAATATGGACAATAACAAGTGTTGGCAAGGATGTGGAAAACCTGGAATCCTAATATACTGTTGGCGAGAATGTAAAATATGTGGCAAGTTTGAAAAATCATTTGGTTGTTCTTTAAAGATGAAATACATAGTTACCATTTGACCCAACAATCCTATCCCTGGGTATATACCCAAGAGAAATTAAAACATACATTTACACAAAAACTGGCTTACAAATGTTCATAACAGCATTGTTGATAACAGAAAAAAATGGAAACAATCCAAATGTCCATCAACTGATGAGTAGATAAATAAAATGCAATATGCCCAATGGAATATTATTTAACAATGAAAATATATGAACTACTGATATACACTACAACATAGATAAACCTTGAAAACATGCTAAGTGAAAAAGTCACTAAAGACCATATTGTTTGATTCCATATATATGAAATATATAGAACAGGGAAATTTACAGAGACAGAAAGTAGATTAGTCATTGCCAAGAGCTAGTGGGAAGGGAACAGTAGAATTAGGAAGAAATAAGGAGTGACTGCTAATGTGCATGGAGTTTCCTTTTGAGGCAAATAAAATGTTCTAAAAGTGATTGTTGTAATGGTTGTATAACTTTGTGAATAAAACCCACTAAATGGTATGTTTTAAGAAAAGTAATTGTATAGTATGTGAATTATATCTCAATAAAGCTTTTCTTATATAATAAAAGGCTAATATGCAAATCAACCGAACAGCAGAACAACCAGTCACTATGACACTCACTGACCACCATGGGGCAGACACTAAATGCAGGAGCTGCCCTCTGGTGGTCAGTGTGCGCCCACAGGGGAAGTGCCGCTCAGCCAGAAGCTGGACTCCTGGCTGGCAAGTGCAGTGGCAGTGGCGGGAGCCTTACCTGCCTGTGCAGCAGCACTAAGGATATCAGACTGCTGGCTTAGGCCTGCTCCCTGCGGGCCTAAGCCATCAATCGGACATCCCTCGAGGGCTCCCGGACTGCGAGAGGGCACAGGCCAGGCTGAGGGATCCCACCCCCAGTGCACAAATTTTCGTGCACTGGGCCTCTAATATATATATATAAAATCCTAGCAGTGTCATTGGTAAATTTGCAAATATATATATATAAAACAGGGTGGGCAAACATAGGCTTACAGTTGCTAGTATGCAAAATTTTATTTTTATATTGCTATTTATTAATTGTTAAATTATTTATTTGTATTACAACTATAAACCTACTTTTGCCCACTCCTATATATATATATATATATATATATATATATATACATATACATTGTATGAGAATTTCTTTCTACCATATTTTTCCCTAGCTAATGCATTTAAGAGGTCACCAAAGATATAATAAATTGAGTTTTTGTAACAATCTAGTAGTAGATGGTACAGAAAGGCTCCTAATTAGACAACAATCTATTATTAACAAGTTAAGTATAATGTAATATACACTGAGTGGCCAGATTATTATGACCACCTGACGTTTATAGGCAAATTAGCTATAATTTCACGCTGAAGTTGCTAGAGGGCCAGGCCATTATAAATAGAGAAGCAGGTTGTTTGCCACAACAGAAGTGATTTTTTTTGAAGATACGGGTAAACAATTCGATTTAACAGCCTTTGAACGTGGTGTACATATATATATATATATATATATATATATATATATATATAGAGAGAGAGAGAGAGAGAGAGAGAGAGATATTATACAGGGTGTCCCCCCAAAATGTGTACACACTATAAAGGCAGTTTAAAATATTAAGAGGCCTGGTGCACAAATTCATTCACAGGTGTGGTCCCTCGGCCTGGCTGGTGATCAGGGCCATCTTGCCCATTCCCGATTGAGGCCGATTGGAACCGGCCTGCTGGAGGGACTACGGGAGGTTGGCCGGCCACGGGAGGTTGGCTGTGGGAGTGCACTTGCCACCAGGAGGCAGCTCCTGCGTTGAGCATCTGCCCTCTGGTGGTCAGTGCATGTCACAGTGACCGGTCGACCAGTCGTTTGGTCGTATGGTCGCTTAGGCTTTTATATATATATATTTCATTTTCAATATGTAATAGAATCTACAGCTATCAGCTATTAAAGTGTGTATACATTTTGGGGGGGACATGCTGTAGTATATAGTCAGTTTTTAACTGCAGTTTCTTACTTAATGCAAACACAATGTTAACCTTGAGGTCAGAAGACTGCATGGTCCATGAGGTAGTGGTTCACAACTTTTAAATATGAAAAATTTCATGAGAATTCTAGAAGTAGACTGTGACAGCAACTTAAAATTTAAATCTCTGCAAATTCCCTCATAAAAACTGAGCAATTAAATAGCAAAATCAAAACCTCATGCACAATATTCCAAAATACAAGAAAGTGGGCACAACCCACCAATAGATCTATATGGGTAGTACAAAGAAGACGATAGTAATAGGGCATTTGCCCTTCGACAGAACAAAAGAACTTCAAAATTACCAACAGGGACTCTATATACAGCACAGCAGGCAAAATTAAGAAAAGTATATAAAAAGGAATGGGTTCTGCTCACTACAATAGAATGTGAGTGAACGGGTTCATAATAAACTCTTGCAGTGGTTCTCAATCTTCCTAATGCCACAACCCTTTAATACAGTTCCTCATGTTGTGGTGACCCACAACCATGAAATTATTTTCGTTGCTACTTCATAACTGTAATTTTGCTACTGTTATGAATCGTAATGTAAATATCTGATATGCAGGATGTATTTTCATTGTTACAAATTGAACATAATTAAAGCATAGTGATTAATCACAAAAACAGTATGTAATTATATATGTGTTTTCCGATGGTCTTAGGCGACCCCTGTGAAAGAGTCGTTCGACCCCCAAAGGGGTCGCGACCCACAGGTTGGTGACCCACAGGTTGAGAACTGCTGCTTTAGGGCACAGAACACTCCAATCACTACAAACTCTCAAAACTAAACACTCAAAGCTCTCTTCCAGAACAAAGCCACACTGAGGAGAAACTACAGGGAACAGGCCCCAGACTGAAGAGGACAGGGGCAATAGGAAAAAAGAAAAGCGAAACTCCAGATAAAGTGGGGAAGGAGAAAAGAGTGAGGAGATCTTACATAATAAGGTGAAATATTTTCAACCATTACTCAAAAAAACGAAAAAGGGTTTCTGTGTATTTAGAATGGCTAACTACACATAAAAATGTGTAAAAGGCCGAAACCGGTTTGGCTCAGTGGATAGAGTGTCGGCCTGCGGACTGAAAGGTCCCAGGTTCGATTCCGGTCAAGGGCATGTACCTGGGTTGCGGGCACATCCCCAGTAGGGGGTGTGCAGGAGGCAGCTGATCGATGTTTCTCTCTGATCGATGTTTCTAACTCTCTATCTCTCTCCCTTCCTCTCTGTAAAAAATCAATAAAATATATTTTTAAAAAAATGTGTAAAAGAAAATGAAAGAAATAAAATCTGAAACAAAGTTATTATAAGAAAAAAGAGAATAAGAATAAATAAATATCTAAAGACAATGAAAGCATACCACAAAGACTTGCTGACAAAACAGGTAAACACTATAACCTACTACTTCAAATCAAGCTGAAAACTTTAAGAACTTAGACATAATACAAAATGATAACATAAATTAGAATTAGGACAACCTCCAAAAGGACCTTTCTATAAGAAATAAAAATCAATTAAAAAAGAATAAATTAGATGATACAGGGAGTTATAAACACGACAGATATTATGCAACTAAAAAGTAAAAATTTTAAAATATAAAAGACAAAAATTAAAAAGAAAATGACAAATAATGAAGACAGTTATAGAAGACTCAACATACATACAATAGAATGCCTGATGAAGAAAA